TGTTTAAAATTATAAATTTTAACTAAAACTTAGACATTAGACATGATTAATTAAATTATATATTATTTAACTAAATTTAATGGAGTAATCTGCTTGAAAAATATTATTTTAATAGTAACAAATAATTTATAAAATACAATGTAATAATAATAAGCCGGCAAAGCACGGGGTTAACTTTATAATAAAATTCAATAATCTAATTATCTTAATATTCCAATCTCTACAACTAAGAGAGTTTCTAGAATCTCATACTAATTCACAGCAAAAGATAAAGAGAAAATTACGAATTCAAGAAATAAAGTAGTGAAGAAATAAAAGGGAGAGCTAGCAAGAACAATAAATTTCAAAATAAAAAAAAAGAATAAAAGAACAAAATCATCAAAAAATGACTAAAGAATGATGATAGCACTCTTGGCCTTTTGGCTTCCCTTGAAGAGCCCATCATCTACACCTTCCGTATTTTGGTTTTTCTGATCAAGAAAGACTAGCACAAACTCTGTAATTGCTTCTATTCCTTCCTATGATTGAATAGGTTGAGAAGTTGCGCATATCAAAAGATGAAGCCTCTCACAAAAGGTATTAATATAAATTAAGGTTTGAAAATTAGAAATGAAAGATAGAGATTGAATTGAAGTGAGAGAGTGAAAGAAGAGTTTAAAGTCAGAAAGAGATTTAAGAAATTGCAATTTCTACAAATAGATGGAGAAAAGAGGTTAAAGTCAGAAATTACAAAAATTTCAGAAATGCAAGAAGCAAGATAAAGAGGCAAAAAAAGTGTGAATGAGGGGAAAATAATGAGATTCCTATATTATCCTTGTAAAATTTAAGATACTCTAAAATAACCTTAGTCATAGCCAATTAAAAAATTTAAACATATATTTTACAAAGATTATTTTACAGTATCTTAGGGTATCTTATACATAAGGTTATTTTAGAGTATCTTATATTTTACAAAGATAATATAGGAAATCTTATTATTCCCCCCTCCCCCCATTCCCACTTTTATGTATATTATATATTGAATTTGGGTTGAAAATACAATATACCCATTTTTAAACCTTTTTTTAACAAAAAGCCTATGACTTTGGCATGAAAGATACAAAAAGCACATTTTCTTCCTTAGTCAAGGCGCGTCCCATTCCAACAAACTCAAAAGAGAGTGAGCTCCATTTATTAGAGCCCCAATACAAGTTACAAGGAAAGATTTCTGTGGCACCCAAAATTGCATAGCAAATCCACAACCTAAAATAGTTAAATACAGTCAAATATTTCTTCATGGCCTCTCATTTATCAAGATACTTCTTTCAAATCTAAATTAACCCTTTCAAATATCTTGCTTAATCACCAACCATTTTTTGCCTCTTTATCTTGCATCTTGCATTTCTGAAATTTTTGTAATTTCTGACTTTAACCTCTCTTCTCCATATATTTGTAGAAAGCAATTTCTCAAACCTGTTTCTAACTTTAAAGTCTTCTTTCATTCTCCCACTTCAATTCAATCTCTCTCTTTCATTTCTAATTTTCAAACCTTAATTTATATTAATACCTTTTGTGAGAGGCTTCATCTTTTGAGATGGGCAGCTTCTAAGCCTGTTTAATCATAGGCAGGAATAGAAGCAATCATAGAGTTTGTGCTAGTCTTTTTTGATGAGAAAAGTCAAAATATGGAGGGTGTAGATGGTGGGCACTTCAAGGGAAGTGGAAAGGCCAAGGGTGCTATCATCATTCTTTAGTCAATTTCTTGATGATTTTGTTCTTTTTTTTTCTTTTTTTTTTATTTTGAAATTTATTGTTCTTGCTAGCTCTCCCTTGTATTTGTTCACTACTTTATTTCTTAAATTTGTAATTTTCTCTTTATCTTTTGCTGTGAATTAGTATGAGATTCTAGAAACTTTGAATATAGAAACTCTTTTAGTTGTAGAGACTGGAATATTAGGATAATTAGATTATTGAATTTTATTATAAAATTTTGTAATTAAGAGTGATATTGTAGGCTGTGAATTAGTATGAGATTCTAGAAACTTTGAATATAGAAACTCTTTTAGTTGTAGAGACTGGAATATTAGGATAATTAGATTATTGAATTTTATTATAAAATTTTGTAATTAAGAGTGATATTGTAGACAGTGTGAGTTCACGATGGAAAAAGGAGAGGATGAGGAAGAATAGAAATGGATGGAAGAAAAACAAAGACTATAGAAAATTATTTTTTATTCTTTTATTGCCACGTGTAGCTCACAATCAAAAGAATGAGTTAATTGTCCATTTTGTGAACTGCTATTAGATAGACTAAAATATACTATCCTAATAACGTAACATATCTCTCATACATTTTTTTTTCTAATGTTATTATATTTTCTTTGCCCATTGGGAATAGGAAGATCATACCACAAAGCATAACCTATCATCATGTAATTTTTTTCTACTCTTTTTATTATTTTATTAATTGACATACATTAATTGTGTTGTATTGTGTTTATTCCTTTTTATTAAATGATTCAATTTTTCTACTTTTTGTTTTGTTTTGTGTTGCTTCTTCTGTCTCTTTCGTTTTGATTCAATCATTATACTCATCATGTAGGTTTTGTTTCATTGGTTATGTTTGAAACAATTACAGGATTATTTAAAGCTATATATACAAAAATAACAAACTTATTTAATTCTTACTTTGACAGCACCAAATGCTTGAAACTTTGTATATGCCATAGCAAGATTTGCCCGAGTAAGGTTTGGCAAGGGATTTTATTTGTTGGTTGGAAGCTTCCTTTTCTCAGTATTAATGTTTGTATAAATCTAGGTCCCGTATCTTTTCATATGCTTATCATTTGACATGATATATAGTAAAAAAAATTGATACGAGCAAACTTATTGCATTTTGTGATTATTTGAAAATGAGTTACTTATACTAGGAAGCACGGCCTGATAACATATACTGCTTTTGCTTCTTTTACTTTTAGTACATTGATTTTTCCTTTCAATCTTTGTTGACACATAAATTTTGAAAAACTGCACTTTAATATTATTCCTAAATTCTTCTATTAATTATGTGAAATTCAGTACCTCTTTGATTTGATCCATATGGATATTCTGCTCACATTAATTTTTATTTGTTTTCTAAATTACTTTTTAAAGTTATATATCTGATTGTGAAATAAACCATTATTCTTTTTCTTTTGGAAAAATTATTATTTAGTCCCTGAATTTTGACCAAATTAATGACTTCGTCCCTGCATTTTGGTCAAATTATTATGACATCCCTGAGGTTTGTTTTTGTCTAACTATATGATCCTTCCATCCAAAAAGTGTTGATTTTTCCATTAATTTTACATAGAAAGACAAAACTACCCATATTATGGGACGCAGAAAGAGTAACTTTCCCTTAAACAGTAGAAACAACAAGATTAAAATAATAATAATAAGAGCATCTTTTCCAAAAGTCCAGACAGAGAAGAGAAGCATTTTAATGGAACTATCCTGAAAATGATGTTTCAATCTCAGCCCCCAAAACCCATAAGTTTGACCATATTTAGCAACAAAATTATCAATTAAAAAATATAAAAATTTCCATATTTCTATCCTTAATCATTATTACTGATTATTATAAAAAAAATCATTATTAATTAGTAAACAGAGAAGTGCCAAAAAAATGCAAAAAAAAAAAAAAGGCTTATAGATCAGCTAAACTAGCAGAGGAGACGATTGGTTAGGATGGAAGAAGAAGAAGAAATCTGATAACGAGATTAAATAGATGGATTTTTTTAAATTTTATTTTTGAGTAACCTAAATAAGAGAAAGTAAAGTGGAGTTTAAGTACTAACAGTCGATTTTTTTTGGACGGTTCAAAAGGGAAGACTCACTATGATCATTGTTAATGGCACAGAAGGAGTAGTATGTGAGAATAGACCGAGTTGATTTGAGTCGACTCAGCTTCAAGGTTGATTGGACGTCTTAGTCAATATGAGGGGAAAAGTACTAACAGTAGGGCCCCATAAATATGGGTAGTTTTGTCTTTCTATGTAAAATTAATGGGAAAATTAGTACTTTTTAGACGGAAGGACCACTACAAAAAAAATCGTTAAATTGCGACCGACAAATCGATCGCTAAATAAAAGAAATTGGTCGCTAAATAGATATAACGACCGATTTGCGACAAACATGAACCGATTGCAAAAGTGCTCGTAGCAAATAATTTTGCGACCGAATGACTAAGCGGTCGCAAATTCGCAACCGATTAAACTTATAAATATCGATCGCTAATTTTCTTCGTGTTTTCCTTCTAGAAGTTTGTCGTAAATTGATCGCAGAAAGTGTCGGTCACAATTATGAAACGTGGTCGCAAATCGGTTGCAAATTCTGAAAGTGATTGGTTGGTGATCTGTTGCAAATTTAAATTTAACGGTTATAATTTAGTTGCAGTTCGGTCGCTAGTTGGTCGCAAAATATAATTACAGGCAAAAAAAATAATTTAATAATATTAAAAATCATAATTTTTTCCACCTGTTGAAAGTCAACATATATATACATCACAATCACAAGGATCATCAGAAATAATGACAATCTAAGAAAGAATTGTAAATGTAATGTGCTATACAAAATATGAAAAAATCAAGAAAATTTAAATTGGTCCGAAATCAAATCTATGATGTCGGTCCTCTGGACGATCCCCTGTAGTGTCTATTGGATTAATAGTAGTATCTGCTGCATGTGTTGCAGTGTCTGTAGGAGTGACCAAGGTATCGTTCGCAGTATCGGGATCAAGATGAGACGATAGTGGCGGATGCAGAGTTATAGAAACATATGGATCTATAGCTGACGGAGGATCAGAGGAAGAAGTACCAGCACTATGATGACCGGACATCCATACGACATGTGCTCTAAGCTCTGCAAGCTATCTCTCCTGCATATCAACACGAACCTGTAATATACTAATCGCCTCGGCACTGTGGTCGTGAGGAGGCTGCAGAAGCGTCAAATGCTGAGCCGCAATAAAATTGTGATGCCTAAGATCTGTTGCCATATACTTTCCTCTTCTTTTCGCCCCCTACGGCCTCCAAATAAAGTGCTAACTCATCAATTCTTGACTCAGCTTCAGATCCAACCTAAGAAGAAACAATGTGAGTGTATTAATAGTTTCTCCTGGAAAACAACAATTTAAATTAATCATGCGTTGTAAGCTTTCTATATATTGAAGCTTGTACACGTAAGAGAAGACTAGAAAGTAAATGTATATTTCTTCATTTTGTTACTCATCGATGCCCATGCACAATTTGTCATGAAGTATTTCCATGTGGTCCTTTGAGTGAGTGTAGTGACACCTTCCATCGTGGGGCTTTACGACCATATTTATGAATTTTTATACATGATATATTAATATAGTGTCATTTCATTAAACATCAGTTTTGTAACTATAACTAATTGACTCACTAATAATCGAGATGTCTCTATGGCAGATATTGATCCGCCTGTGCGTCGGGAAGGTCCTGCTCCGTCATCACCAGTCTCACTTTGCCTATTTCGTGCAAATATCTCACACTTTCTCTTGAATACAAGATCCTCCCAAGCCTTCTGCCAGCTCTCCCATATCTCCTGAGACACGCACTGATGCTTCTTCACGCTTTTTCGCATCCTATAACTGAAGTCAGCATACCATAGAGCACACAATTTCTCCCAGGCCACTTTTAGCATAGTCGTAATAGCCTCTTCCCATAAGAAATGCTTTTGCAAAAATGAAAAATAATTTTTCCGTAAAGAGTAAGTGAAGGCCCATAGATTCAGATTATTAATTACATTGAATGAAGATATAACTTGAACCAAATTATACCTGAAACTCTTGCCAATGAAAGTCTCTCGCCTCTTATGGTACGACATCCCATGTGTATCCATCTTTATCCAAATGTAGCTTGATTATCCTTATAATTTGCCTTGATGCTCGAGAGGATGGATATATGCTGAGAAAGAAAAACATAAGTGAAATATAAGTAGACTAAAGCATCAAAATCTGAACAAAACCAAGTCTTAAAGGAAAAAGTAAATAAGTACTTACTGTCCCGCTACAAAACTGAGCTTGTTACGTGGCTCTGATGAAGCTGTAAAAGAAGTGACAAATGCTATCAATACAGAGAAATAATTAATATATAACTAAAATGATAGTAAATGACATTTATGATTACCTGGTGTAGTAGGTGACTCTGAAGCTGGTGAAGACTCTTCTGGTCTAGGAAATGGGGTAGAAGAGGAAGGAATAGAAGGAAGTGGTGGTGGATGAAGCCCCAGACATACCTGAAGAAGAAGGAGGAGGGATAGTCCCTCCTTGTCCACGTGTACTGCGTCCTCGGCCACGACCTCCACGCGGACCATTGTCGGACGCGTCTGAATCAACCGCCCTGCCTCTAGCCATCTGTACTACAGATAACAAAACCTACATATGTACGTATACAATTATATGAATTGTAGAACATATGGTAAATATGTATAAAGAAAGTCAACAATATTAAAATTCTTCATTAATAATATTATATATACATCTATGAATTTATAATGCATTAAGTATTTCTGTCTTCATCATCTTCTTCTTCTTCTTCATCTTCTTGATCTTCATCTTCTGAGGTACCCATGATGATTTGATCTTCTTCCTCTTCATCATCTGATGCTCCTATTTCAACGTAAGTTCCGCTTTCATCATCCAGTCTATTCGTCAAATCTTCAACAACTTGCACTTGAAATGGCTCAGATATTGCGAGTAAAGCAGATTATTTGGTTTCAACTGCATGAACAACTGCTCTACGCTTGATTTTACATACTGTCATCCAATCGCAACAATCTCATTTCAATGATGGATATGGAACATAGTACATATGCGCAGCTTGCCTCGCCAACACAAAAGGTTCTTACTTCGTATATCTTCTTCTATGATTAATATCTACAAGATTATACTTTTAGGATGAACCTTCATGCCAACATTTGGCATAGGATCAAACCATTCACATTTGAATAAGATTGTGCACTTGATTGGTAGGGATGGATATTCTAACTCCAAAACCTCAATCAATTTTCCATAAAAACCATTTGACTCATCACTATAATTTGATCCCTTTATGCAAACACCACTGTTCATTGTCTTTCTGCTTGTCCCATAACCCTTAGTGTGAAACTTGTAACCTTTTGCAAAGTAGCCAGAGTAGGCATTAGCAACCGGTAGAGGTCTCCTTACTAGATCAATACTGAATCTGTTATCAACATCGCTTCCCGAGCTTCAGGCCTATGGGAAATAGTAATGACACGAGTAAAATATAAGAATGTACACATATATGTTGTGAAACTAGAAAGTTACTTACATAACATTTGAAACATTCTGCAAATTCAGAGTCTAGTTTTGCATCAACTACAGTATCAACCAAATTGGGATTTTGTAGCCGTAAAAGCTTGATATATTTCTTGTTTATGAACGAACAAAAATATCATAAATATGATTTAACTAAGTTGTATTAATATGATTTAACTAAGTTGTATTAAGTTTATACTCTCTACAAGATTTATACTTACTGTACAAATGGTGTAATCTCTTCGCAATTCAACAAAATATAGGTTTGAGCCGCTCATATCTCGCATAAGTCAATCGTCTTTTTTTTATATTTACCAATCATACGCCTAGGATAGGTGAAAATTGTTAGATTCCCTTCTAACTCAGATTCTAATTGATCTCCTCCGTCATCATTGCGTGGCACTCTCTGATGCTTAGTGTAAACATGTGGTTCGAAGTAGTGTGAACAGAATGTGGAAGCTTCTTGCACCAAATATGCATTGCAAATTGATCTCTCAACCTTTGCCTTATTGCGCACGTTCTTTTTTATTTTCTACAGGTGTTTGTAATTGTACAAAGTCAATATGTAAATATGAGTTGAATAAAAATTATAATGATTAGAATGGGATGTTAGTGATTCACCCCTCAAATGGATACATCCATCTATATTATACCGGTCCTGCAATATGACATTCATAAGGCAAATGAATCAGTAGATGCTCCTAGAATCAAAGAAGCCGGGCGAAAAATTCGCTTCAATTTGCATATCACTACTGGGATTTCTCACACTAATTGGTCCATATCATCGCATCGGATAACAGTCATCATCAAGTCCTTAAAAAAGAGACTCAATTCTATCATTGCTTCTTAAATTTTCCCTGGCAATAATTCTCGGAATGCCACAATAATCAATCTTTGCATGGAAACATGACAGTCATGGCTTTTCATGTCAAAGAATCTGTATTTCCTCATGTCGATACATCTAACCATATTTGATATGTATCCATCTGGAAACCTCAATGATTGGACCCACTCGCATAATACTTGCCTTTGGGGTTTATCTAAAGAATAACATGCCTTTGGAAACTTTTCAGTAACTACAGATTGCTGGAGTTCTGGTCGACGACAAATTTCCTTCATGTCTGCTCTCGCTTTTGCATTATCTTTGGATTTCCCCTTAATGTTCATGACAGTGTTGAACATATTTTTTAAATACATTTTTTTTCTATGTGCATCACATCAAGGTTATGACGGATAAGAAGTGAACTCCAGTGTGGCAAATCCCAGAAGATGCTTCACTTTTCCATCTGCTATTCCGGCCAATTCTACCATTTACCTCTTCTGCACCTTTCTGCACCTAAACTTCTATAAACGTTTCATAAGCCCAGATCTTCAATTTTCTTGTAATATTTTAACTCCACTTAGCAGGTGGAGGGGGATTAGCAATAGTGTGTTCTTCTAAACATCATTGATTTTGCCTCTAGGGGTGAGATTAAAGAATTTGTGATGACAATCAAACCAACATTATTTACCTCCATTTTTTAGTGTAAATGCATTAGTGTTTTCCATGCAATGAGGACAAGCCAATTTGCCTACCGTGCTCGACCCATATAAGATTCCAAATACTGGAAAATCACTCATGGTCCAAAGCAAAGCAGCTCCCATTATGAAATTCTGATCGGCCAAAATATCAAACATTTTAACTCTATATTCCCATAAATCATTAAGTTCAGCAATCAAAGGTTGCAGAAACACATCAATTTTGTATTTCGGATTATTAGGGCCAGGTACAATAACACACAAAGCATTCATCTTTTCATATCACATTGAGGGTTTGGGTAGATTATAGGTGTGACCAATTGGACAGCCATGATAATATTATTGTCCTGATTTGCGCAAACGACTGAAACCCAATCAGTATAAAGCCCAATCTCATATTTCTTATGTCAACAGCAAACCAGGATGATTGTTATCAAAGTGTTTCTACGCTTCAGAGTCTAACGGCATGAGTCATTATACAATCCTCAGTATTCATGCAAAGCATGTCATCTCATGTGTCAGCTGTCGGCCTTTAATGCAGATAAACTCGCCTTAAATGCATATAACCTTTGAAGGTGAGGAACAAGAGGGAAATAATAAATCTTCTTGAAAGCTTCTCTCTTTGTACTCTACCAGTCCCTTGACCCTGCTTTTGATATCTTGGACGATTACAAAACTTGCATACTTTTAATTTGGAGTCAACACCCCAGTATATCATATAATTATTTCAACAACAATCAATCTTTTCCACTAGTAGTCCTAATCCCCGAACTAATTTTTTTGTCTAGTAAAAATTATCCACCATCGAATTGCCTCCAAGCAACATTTCTTTTGGTAACTGCATAAAATCATCGTAACACCTTTCTGAAAAATGGTGCTCCGATTTCATGTGTAGTAATCATGCACTTAGCATGTCAAACAATTGTTTTGCCGCATAGTTTACCGGACTAAAAAGGGAATGGGTTAGAGCAGAATTCCATTGGGACAATATGGAGGAATCATCAAACTATGCAGCAAAACAATTGTTTGACATGCTAAGTGCAGCTAACAGTGAACTATGGCCTGGATGCAAAAATCATTCAGTTCATGATTACCATATCATTGAATCGATTACCATACTGAAATTGCAAAGGTTGACCTTCTGAACTTACAGAAATAGAGTGGCCTGACCCACTGAAAACTCGAGGTTCACCATAATGTATCCATTCATATTCACCATAATGTATCCATTCATAATAATTTTCCACGAACTCATTTTTGCATAAATGAAGTTTAATTGTATCGATATCTAAGAAGGCTCTATTTTGACACTTGTGATTATATGGACACCTCAACTTATTACCATCCATGTAACTGGGATTACCAACTACAAACTGTATAAATGATTTCAATCCTTTCAAGAATTCTTTTCTTAATATCCCATTAACCTCGTACCTCCAATACATCCAATCTCGATTAGTCTGCATTTTGTGACATAATTAACACTTTGTTTATAAAGGGCAAATTATATGTAATTGCATTAGTCCTAAATCATCCTTAAAACAGACCAAAAGTAATGTTCCATTTACATTTCCTTATTAAGGTTATTTCTATAATAAGGGTAGCTAATATATATATATAATATAAAAAAACTTACATATAATGATCAGCAAGTGTACGGATTTTCCTCATATTCCAGTTCTTTTTAAAAAAAATTTCAGCAGCACGATGCGGCATAATTAATCAAATCTCAAAGTCAAAACACACTCCACATAAACACTTCTTATATCATCCGAAAGTTTTCCAAAGTCAAAATGGCCACTACTAGGCCTCCAACTCAAATTGCAGTCATTCATGTGATTTCTAC